AAATTTAATCCAAGTAAAACAAAGGTAGTATTTTTCAGCTTAAAAAATACAAACCTCTTACCTGTATTATTATTTGGGAACCTGTCAGCTAGAATATGTAACACAACATAAACATCTTGAAGTTATTTTTTCATCTAAATTAGACTGGACTGAATAGATTAATAGTATTGTCAGTAAAGGCTACAAAAAGCTTGGACTTCTCAAGAAACTTAAATTTTCAGTGTCTAGAGATACTTTATCCAAAATTTACATTTCCTTTGTAAGACCTCAACTTGAGTATACATCTGAAAGTTTGGTCGGGCTGTTCATTTGCAGATATTGAAAAACTTGAAAAGGTTCAATTGACCGCTGCAAGAATTGTGACAGGTCTGTCAGTATTAGCGTCAAGAAACTCGTTGTATGTTGAAACAGGATGGGAACCTCTTATAATAATAAGGGACAAAACATAACTTTTAACAATGTTTAAAATCCACAATAACCTAGCTCCTGATCATTTAAAAAATATTGTACCAGTAGTTAGAAGCAATGTTTCAAATTATAGTACTCGTAATTCAAGTAATTATTTCTTACCAAAATGTAGGCTTAAATTACTCAATAAGTCATTTGTTCCCGATGCTATTCGCAAATGGAATTCATTGTGTAACGAAACTAGAGAAATAGCTGCAATAGGAATTTTCAAAAGAAAATTGAATAATAATAATGACAAGCCTCCCAAGTATCTATCATATGGCAAAAGGTATCTGAACTTTTTACATTATACAATTAATTACCCCTTATGAGGTCAACATGGTGAAATAAGGACCCGAGACCTGGCCCACGAGGTGACCTGACCAGGTCAGGTCAGCGAGTGGGCAAGGTCGAGGGTCCTTATTTCACCATGTTGAACTCATAAGGGGTAATCAATTGTTTTATTATACCAATATAAATTAAGACAATTTTTGTAGACTTAATTACTAAAATAATCAATTGTGTATTAGACCTACGAACTGTTATTATCAGTGTTTCATCGGGATAGGGATTCGCTAGTGAAGTTGTTTACTTTTCGCCTGCAAGTCTTGTAAGTTTTTGCACCGCCGTTTTATCAAAACACTCTGTGATTGTCAGTAACTTGCATTTTTATAAATTCAAGGAAGTTTCAATGAAAACAATAAATTTTATGACGCGCATCTAAAGGACAATCGTATTCCGTATCATAAAAAGACTATACATATTTTAACAACGGCATTTTTTGTAATGAACAGTCATTACTGTTTGCATTAAATTTTAAATTTGAATGGAATTTAGATTAACAGGTCATTTTAGCAGTCATCATAATTTATAATGACAGGGTCATTTTACCCCACGTGCAATGATTCCTAGGTAATTATTGCTGTAAATGGTACTTTTTGGAGTCATTATTGAGTTTAAAAGCCTTCTAACAAGCCAATCAAATTTGAGTATTCTTAATAGAGGTATAATAAACAAAAATAAGGCACACTTGTATTCTAAATCATGACTTATATAAATGTAACATTATAACGAATCTAAATCATTCTCGTGGATATAAGGAGGATAGTCATCAATATTTCCTTGTGAAAATATCTAGAAGCTAAATGTTTAATGTTAAATGCATTACTTGTAATTAATAATGTAAAAATATTAAATGTGCATAAACTGCTATTGGGAGATAAATCATTATCTTTGCAGGAAAAATGAAAAAAAAGGTATTCACCGTATTGTTCAAAAATTTATTCAGGATACTGGTCGTTTCAATTAACACTTATTTGTATTTACCACCTCTTTTATAACTATATTTCATATGGTTATTGTCGTCATTATATTTATCACTATATCATTCCTTAGCAATAATAACTATTGTTTTTGTTCTTCTATGTTCATGTATATTATTGTAAAATTGTAAATCTTTGTAAATATTGTATGGCTATTCAGATTTTATGTATGACAGAGGACGATCTAAATTTTTGGAACTTGTGTCCAATCCCTTTGACATATTGTCAATAAAATATGTTCAAAAGAAAAACAATGGGCCATCATAGTTTTACATAGGAACATATAGGAAAAAAAATCTTTAAAAAATATTTTTCTCCATATTGATATGGAGCATCCTCGGGTAGTGTAGATTTAAGTTTGTTCAAATCATCCCCCCCTGGGGTGGAGTTGGGGCACAATGTGCTATCAGAGTTTAACATACGGATAAATAGGATAGGAAAAAAAATATTTTAAAATCTTTCTTTTTTTCAATATCACCGGGTTCATAGGTGTGTGTATGAAAGTGGGTCAATACATCGTTTCACAGCCCTTGTTTCATCGCACATGGTTAAAAAATCTTAAAGTGTTCTACTGGACGAATCCTGTCTTTGAACGGTTGGAACGATGCTTTAAGAGCTTTATTTTATAGATACGATTTTGCTTCTTTGAAGAAACCACAGGAAGCTAATATTACAACTAGGTATTTATTTTTGTTCGCACAATAAATGTATACACTAACAAATGTGAAGTTTTCTTTAATTAGGTGAACACTTTTATTTAAAATAACTACTTTTGTCTTATTGATATTTTTAATATCTAAGCTCACCTACATGTAAAAGTTAAGTCAGATTGAGTTTCTTTCCAGAAAGATTAATGTAGTAATTATTTTCTTACAGAAGGCGTTCGAGAAAAATTTAAAAATACTTGGGCTTAGAACTCCTAGGTCTGGTGTATGTAAAAGAGGTAACGTTCTCTATTTTAATGAAAATATTGTCATGTCTGCATTATGTAGAATAAGCCTATAGCTTAGTAACAAAGAAATATTGATTTATTGATGGGAGTAAACTAAATGTATTTATAATTGTTTTCTTTAGACCATACTGTTAAACTCATAATATTATTTTAACGGATTTAAAGTCTATTATAAAATTTTAGTGATTAATAGTTTTTCACGACAATTACAGTCTGTCCTTTTGTTGGGCAAATTGATATAGTTTGGTGAATAAGACCTTCATGTAACAGCAATTGTTTAATTGTCTGTCAACTAAAACATCATCGCTAAACCTTTTCAATTTGCCCTGCAAAATAAACAGTGTAGCAGTTATCATAAAAGGGCTTATTGATGAATAAATTAAGAATCTTATTTGGAAACTGAAATGATGACACAAAATACTCATGAAACAAAAACAACAAAGCACAGAATACACTCACGATGTGATTTCATTGCAAGAAGACATTTCAAGCAGGAATTTGAAAGAGCTCACATCGTTTATATCTAATACTGCTCTTGTCCTAAATAAATGACTACGTCTCTGTATAAACTATAAGACTGAATCGTCACATAGCAACCAGAAACTTGTATTTAAATAGTTTCACAGATTCAATTGCACGATTGTAATTCTGTATCTATCTCCTTTTAATCCACTTTACCTGTTGTTAAAATGTAGGCAGCTAAATCATATTTGAAATCTAGCCAGATTTTACAGCAATTAGTCAAATCATCCTTATCAGAGTCATGGGTGAATTCAATTCTCAGTTTTGAGCATTTTGAAGGGAATGAGATATGTTACCCACTAATACGCAAGAAAGAAATTCGCACTTTAAGTCAATCGTCTGTGTAATAATAATTTTGATATAGTGTAAAAGTGAAAGAAATTTGAAATATGATAATCAATATGCAAATCAGAAAAAAAGGATGTGCACTGAAAGTTGTATAATCAGTATGTTGTGTTTACCAAAAATTTGCCTAATACGATGTAAACTTTCAGTAAATTCAATTGTTCAAAATGTCTAATCCGGCCAACTTCTGTGGAACAAGTAATGTTCCTACTAGAAAGTTTTACTGTACATGTCTGTTTTATTTTTTTTTTCTCAAAATGCAGGAGAAAATTAATCTATAACATGGTTTTCAAACATAATTTTATATTATTTAACGATAAACAAAAAGATCTCATAATAGACTGTAAGTTTTTGTTTATTACTCTTTCCTTTGTTCATGTTTTATTATAAAATTCAAATTTTGCTTAAGTTCAATGAATTTAGGGGAAAAACTACTGATGTTCCCTGAATAAAAAGCAGAATATAATTACATTAAAAAAATATCAAAGTTTGGACATGGCAAAGATACGCATGGATATTTAAAAAGTGACTGCATTAACCACTATCGATGTGGCATTTATCAATGCGTTTAGTTTATATCTGTAACTGTACACAAAACATGTACATTTTTTATCATTGTTGGACCAATTAGCTTCTCACAACTAATTCTTTATCAGTAATGATTGACAAAACTATCCATATACGATATACATGTAGTAAATAAACGTTTGGTTCATGAATGATGATGATTTTAATCAAGGTTATACCTAATTTTCCGGACACAAAGGCTATTCAACTTTTCTTTCCGATAAAAGTATTATAGGGATTAATACTTTATTTTCGCCCACTTTTATACATGTTCTTTAGGTCAGACGACACGTTCCTAAAAAATATATATAAAATTTTCCAAGAATTTATCATTGAAGCATTACTTCTTAAACAAATTTCCTCACAAAAAATTAAGGTACCTTACCAGGCATTTGTGCAAGATACCAAAGGATGTTATTTACTATATATTCCTATTGAAAATCACTAACATTGCAATATCACAATTTTTTGGTGTCTTTGTCCACTTAGACATTTCGAAAACAGTTTGAAAATCACAAGAGAATGATAATTATGATAAAATTGTTGCATAATACGAGGAGATTCAAAACAGATATCGAGGAACGTGTCGTCAGACCTTAAAGTCAAAGACTGTTGACAGTCCGATAAAAAATATTAATGCGATTATTATTTTAACTTTTTCACACTTTTATACATGCCCTAAAAGTCAAAGACTTTTGACAGCGCTAAGGGAAAATCCACTGTCCTATATTTGTATCAATGCATTTGTTATCAGCAAGGTTTTAATCTTGGTTTTGAATTGCATATTGTAAATTCGTCCTGTTCATCTAAGGGACAAGTTTTGTCTTTGCGACGTTTCCTAAGAGATGCTACAACTAGTTGTTTTTGGAGTGTTAGCGGTTGTATTGTGGTATAATGTTTGTGTCTTCAGAACTCGGAAGATTACAGTCAATGGTCAAGGAGTTTTGATAACTGGATGTGATACTGGTAGGTTCAATTTAGTAATTTATCTTGACGTAAACATGTTATAAAATGCTTTTTTATGGATTGAAAAAATGTATCTAAATTCTAAGTGAAGAAAATAATTTTTTAATCCAATTTATCCTGAAATAAAACTTTAGTTTCAAGTGCTTCGTAATCTGATTTTACTCCACCATAGTGATTTCAAGTAAAATTTTACCATAATGTCCTTTATACTTGTCTGAATGTTTAACGTGGTATTTAACTACAAAGACTGTAGACACACACTTATTTCTAATGCTGATAGCTTGTTAAAAATGATAACACATTATAGAATTTTAACAGAAAACTTAGGAAAAAAGAATCTTAAAACTATGAACATTACTATTGCATAATTATGTCATCCCACACTGACCCCACATGGTGCAATATTAGGATTGAAGTACTAAATTTTAAAAATTGATTTCAATAAAATTACCATTTTTGTTATTTCGGCAACGACAGCCATTTTGAAAGTTTTAAATGCTGCATGCATGATTCTAGTCTGTATCATTACTGTGGATTCATTAAGATTGTTCAGGCCATCTGCAAGAATGCAGGACTGCGGAAAAAAATTAGAAGTAATACTAACAATATGTCACCCAACTTTGATCGAGATAACAGGAGGATACACATGAAACAAGTTCCAAACCTTAGATAGTCTGTTTAATTACGATGTAATTTTACTTTTTTCCAGGATTTGGACACGATCTGGCAAAGCGTCTGGATAAGATGGGGTTTCATGTGTTTGCTGGATGTTTGGTGGAAGATGGGCCCGGTCCAGAAGAATTAGCGAAATTATGTTCTAAACGTCTTCACGTTGTCCAACTAGACATCACCAAAGATGATCAAATCAGAGCTGCCAAAAGTTATGTGGAGTCAGTACACGAACTGACCGGATGTGGTAAGTAAGATATTTTATGAAAAGGGTATAATTTGTTATTTTTCCTTTGGTTAAAGCATATTAACAAATCATGAAAAACATCTACTTATAATTACCTATAACCATAGATTTTTACTACATGAGATTTAATTTTTACCTTGTCAGCATAAATTTTAATCAAATATAATTCGTTTCATTCTTTTTTACTTTATCAAGTTAATTTTTATTATTACTTTATACTTCAAATTTTGACATTATCAAGTGTACCTTTAACTTTTTTTTTTTAGGTCTCTGGGCTGTTGTCAACAACGCTGGAATTGACTTCTATGGAGATATAGAATTTTGCACAATAGATATGTACAGACGTGTGGCGGAAGTGAATCTTTTTGGCATGATAAACGTCACAAAAGCATTTCTACCCATGATTAGAAAATCTAAAGGTATAAAGCAACATCATAAATTCTGAGTATATTTACTTTTTTGTCAAAGACATTTATATTTTTAGACAATATGTATGCTTACATTTGTTTTAATTATAATAAGATAGAAAGAAAAAAAGTGCAAAATATATCTGAAGTTGGGTATTTTCACCATCTTCAAAAATCGCTTAGCAGAGTACTTTTTCACTTTTCACACACACGAATCTTTAGAATGTTGATTCTCTCTCTCTCTCTCTTTCTCTCTCTCTCTCTCTCAGTGTGTGTGTGTGTGTGTGTTTGATTGAGTCATAGTTTCCTTGGTCATATCTATTTTGTATGCATAACATAGAGGATATTTTCTTTTCGGAGAACGTCTTAAAAAAGAAAAATTATTTCATACATGAAATTACTTTATTCATGCATAGATTTGCTGACTCAGGGAAGTTTCAGAAGAGTAAGAGAAGATTAAATTATGTAGGATTATAAAATAGTCAACTACTAGTACATAATTTTCTTAGCCCTTAGATTATACAAAAATTAAAGCAAACACCAGAAAACAATCAAAGGGAAGGAATGGTAAGGTCATAAACTGTGAGTGACATTTTGAAGCATCTGCACGAAACTACATGGTAATCTTAATTTTGACAGTGTAATCACACCTGCAGATGAAAATTCTTCTCACAAAAGAAAAAAAACTTCAGTTTTTAGGTAAAGTGTGTTTTTAAAGATAAGATCTGTTTAGTGGATGTTATAAACATTATCCTTCATAATAGGTCGAATTGTGAACAATACAAGTGTCAAAGGCCTTGTATCTCTTCCAAGAATATCGGTCTATGGAATCACTAAGTTTGGCTGTGAAAATTTTTCTGACTGCCTGAGGCTTGAAATGAGGAAGTTTGGAGTAAAAGTTTCTATTGTTGAACCAGGGAATTTTGGAGGGGTAACAGGAATTCGTATAGGTAGCAATGTATGTTTCTTTATTCTCTTTTTTCTTAACGGAGAACATTACACAAGTAAACTGATCTGATTAATTGTTTGTATGCTGTTTGTCTAATTTACAATTAAACCTTGTCATTTTGACATTTTTTTCTTATTTCTCTTTAAGTTATGATATGAATTACTTAAAGTTGTGCAGGTATTCTTCTAATGGTCAAATTACTTTAATTTAAAGAAATAAGTATTATACCATCTCAGTGTTGATTAAGATCGTTTTAAAAGATCTGCAAAGGAGCTCTGCATTCCAAAGGGAAAAAATCCATGTGCAGCCAATGTTGTATATTTCAGAGCCATCATATTATTAAGATATTTCAGACTGAAACTATATCAAATTCTTTTTATGTCTGTTGCATGCTTGATCGTTGAATAAGGCTTACTTAAATTTCCTGATGGTCGTAGCGCATTTGAAATGCTTTACAAAACAAGAAATAATAATAATTAAAAAAGCACATTTAAGTCTTCATTTCATGAGCTAAAAGGCTATAAATTCTTTGAAAATTGTAAATTTACTCAAATTTGGTATATAAGAAAAACATTTCCCTTAGCCATTACTATTTGGTGTTGCATGTTTCCTTGATAAACACGAGTTTATTAGTAAGTAAATGATTTATTATAGTGATATATGTTATACGATACAACGTACTATAACAAGTTAATTCAAATTTATTACAGTTTGAACGTTTGAAAAGAGATAAAGAGGAAATGTGGAGCAATGCTGACGCAGAAGTGAGACAAGTTTATGGCCGGAAGTATCTGGAATCCCAGTTTTCTGGACAAGTAGAAGCACTTGACTCTTCCTTCCCCTCGACTGATCCGGTCATTGATGCGTTTGTTGACGCTTTGACGCTTGAAAATCCGAAAAGTAGATATTTAGTAGATGGTGGATCAGGACTGATTGATTTCTGTAATGTACGTTAAGCTTATGTTCTTCCAAAGAGGGTTTGTCTTGGGCTAGGGTTTCATTGCAAGCTTAGGTTAAATGCATACACTTGACTGATATACTGTTTATTAAAGAGCGCTTCATCATCTAGAAGATATTTGATAAAATATCTTTTCTCTCCTGGGAGAGAGCAGAGTGCTTTGACTTTTAATTGTATGCACTAAAAAAGTAAAATATATTATGGATGACTCCATTTCACATAGTTAATTAAAAAAAAATTCAATCTGGCTTAAAATCTAGAGTATATGTTAAATGTGAAAATAAGGCATAGTCCAATTAAGCATTAACATAAGATATGAATACTTGGATGACACAACAAAACTGAAAAATAATATCTTGACTGATAATACTGTACGTGTAAACAAATTGGCGTATTTTGAATTTAGCGCAATCACTGGGTTTGGAGGAGTTGGCGTAATCAAGAATTAGCGCTACACATGTACGTGCCGTTTATTGTATATATAAATGATTTCTTTGCGATATTCATAATTTAGTGCATCGTTGACTGCGCCAAAGTCGCTAAAAAGAAGCCCTCTTTTTTAATGTTGACTGATAATACTGTACGTGTAAACAAATTGGCGTATTTTGAATTTAGCGCAATCACTGGGTTAGGAGGAGTTGGCGTAATCAAGAATTAGCGCTACACATGTACGTGCCGTTCATTGTATATATAAATGATTTCTTTGCGATATTCATAAATTAGTGCATCGTTGACTGCGCCAAAGTCGCTAAAAAGAAGCCCGCTTTTTAAAGTACACATACAGTATATAAAATACACTGTTATGTACTTGAATGTTCTGAAGTAAGAAATTCCACATATTATTATTTTATTATCTATTTATTTTCAGTATTTGGCCCGGCTGAAAAACTATATACCGACCGTTTGGATGGATTTCATAGTTGACCGATGGCTCAACTCCTTCGGGGTATCAAATTTCGGAACCTGACAAAGAGAATTATATAGTCATTTTTTAAGTTTCTGGTGATATTTTTAATGCTGCATTAAAAAAAATGAATGATTTAATTTTTTTCAAAATAAAGGAAAAGAATTTCTCCAGGAAAGAGGTATTGAAAATAATGCTGTTTTCTTAATAAGCACAAATATAGTTTACGCTTATAGATGTATTTTTAAATTAGCTATAGTAAACCCCTATTATAAACCTTTTTCTTAAAAGAAGACAATAAAATCAACAACAAAGAATATCGATTCTTTTTCTGTTTGTTGTGAAAGGGGGAATCAGGTCTTTCTATTCAAAGATGACTAGTGATGTCCCTTCTCCCGAAGTGAAAAGAATATCAAATTTGACGAAATTCCATGCAAATGGAAGAAATTCCATAAAATGTCCTACTTTAGCACCTTATTGTGACCTCTATGTATGCTTTGAATCGAAAGTAATGCTGGTTTTAAAACAAGCAACGTTGAAAGTGTTTAATTACAAAATTAACTCTCTTAACTGTTTTGAATTTTATGAAAAAGGTACAGAATTCGGAAATATCCTGTTCGTTTTCTTTATAGCGTGACCGTCACGGTAGCTCAGTCGGTAGAGCGCTCGCTCCATGATCGGAAGGTCGTGTGTTCGAATCACGGCCGCGACTGACCAAGTCGATAGAAAAAGGTAGCAACTGTTCCTTCGCCATACGCTAGGCACTTTGAAGTGAAAATTGCGGGTCCTTCGGATGAGACCTTAAAAACCGAGGCCCTGTGTCACGGTAGGTGTTGGCACAATAAAGACCCCTCTCTGCTCAATGGCCCTGAGTGCCGAGTAAAGGTCTAAATTTGAAGCCCTTAGGGGTATATGATGACGTCTCGAGTGAAAAATTCTCGTAAAACAACATACAATCTATCAATCAACCTTTATAGCGTGATCGAATATCTCTCTCTACATGTACAATGATTGTAATAGTAGATATATCAGAAAGAGAGCGATGTAGCGGAAAGCCCCCACCCCCGAAAAAAGGATCCGAACATCGGAAAAATTCGTAGACAATCAGTGTGTAAATGATGGCCTAAAATTAGTATGAAAAACGTCAGTCAGCATTTGACTTATTGATAGATTGTATTTGCTGATAAGGTCATTGTATCAACAATAGAACTTGCAAAATGATGACTTTAAACGATAGTGTTGATATTTTTGTTTCATCAACTTGTTTGTCAATAGCTTGCCTTGTGTTAGAAATTGTTCGTACGTAGAGCATGTTCTAGCGTATCGAATCAACTGGGAGACGTAAACCCCTTCTGCAAGTGATAAAGATATTTTGCTACATAATGAAGGGAAGTTCACGACTGAAAAGTTGAAGTCATCACGCTTATCATAAAGCTTGGTTATTAGGTGACCATTAATACCTTTTTGTAGTAAAATATCCAAATATGAAACAGATGTGTGAGATTCTGCGATATCTTTTATTTCAAGCTCACTTGGATATATCGAGTCGACTTATTAATGGGAGTAACTATATATTATCAATATTACGACATCAATTTATCTAAATGTCGAGTTGAAGTCCACAGCAAGTGTCTTCTTCTTGTCATGTAGAAATATTTGAATAAATTCTCCTTCATATGAATACAAAAATAGGTCGGCTAATATTGGGGAACAATTGGTACCCATGGGAATTCCGATAGATTGTTGGAAGACCTGATCTAAAAAAACTAAATAGGTATTGTCAATCAGAAACTCAAGCATCTTTTTAATATCAACTTCAGAGTACTTGTGTGTACAATTAGAATGTATTTTAACAAAATTATGCTGCAAATGAACAATGACAAGGTAAGTAAATTTCATTTTTATTGAAAAAGCAGCTGTCAATGATATCAAAAAGTCTTAACTTTAATTTATCGTAAGGAATTGTTTTATAAAGTGTTGAAAAGTCGTACGTTTTCATGTTTATGATTTTGGTAAAATCTTGTGATTTCAAATTTTTTAAAAGTTCCTTGGAACTTTTAAGTATGATTTACACCATTTCTCAAATATATTGTTGTACTCCTGAAGTCTCTCCTTCACGGCTTTTGAAATTTTAGATAGACGTAAAGAAGAGACTTTGTGGAACATTTACTGGAATCCGCCATGTATCTTTGTTTGTAAGGACTTTTTTGAAGTTTCGGAATCCATTATAGGTATGGTAATTCAAATTTATTTTGATTGTTGGGAATGTTAAAAATATTTAAAACTGACATATGATTTTGAAGAATTTCCTGCTAAGAAAGAGAGCTTTGGATATAAGTTAGACTAAACTTGCAGAATTAAATCCAAGTTCATCCTAAATACATGTACAATTTAGATAATGAACCTTACAAACAAAGACAATGTTGTTACCTACTTTGTCAGCTGAATTCAGTACAAACTGGTCGTATAATCTATCTAATTATTTTTTCACTTCTGAATTATTGAACAGAGAAGGAGAGATGGTTTTCATATTGCCCCTTAATTGCTGAATGAGAGATTTTAACATTCATCTGATACTTTAGTCCATTCTGACAAAGTGTTTTATGTCTGGCCTATCGCCTTGCGTAATCTTCCACAGAATGCATAATATTTATGGAATTATGACGCCAGTTGAAAAATTGAGGTTCCCTAAATTTTGGCTTTTTTAAGTAAGTTATTTAGGGTCCTCTTTATTTACTATATTTACCTCACCAGTAATGACGTGTCCAGCAGGACTATAGATGTAGGGTGAACAAGAACATGAAACGTTGGAGGATTAAGTTTCAAATGTTCGATATTTAGGCCCTTTCGAGTTGTAATTAAAAAGACTTGAAGCAATTGTCGATGTATAATTGTAAGAAATACAAGGTGCTGACTTCAACTTCAAAAGACTGGAACCTTTGTGACTCAGAATATTCCTTACATGTATGCTAACGGCGTCAATTCCTATGTTGGTATATTGAAGTTTAAAGGGAAAAACGTGTTATTTTAGCAGAATTTTCTTCCGTACAACGTGGCGATTTAAAAAACATATGGTTTGCAATATCCATAATCACAGATCCGAGTCTGTTTTCTGGTGTCGAAGAATCCAAATATGGACTTCACTCGACTTAATCATAGAGGCTGTTAAAAAATTTCAAGGGACGGAGTAAAGTTTGGTTTGAATGTAATAAAGACCTAACTGTTTATTTACATAAGGCAGTAGTGAATCAAAGGAGTCATCGTGTATAATAGGTTTATTGTAAGACTGATGTCCATGACTACGCATACGTCTCTGAGTATTGTTAAAAATCCCATCACATTCATATTGCTACACTGTGGACTGGAAAGATTCCCATCACTATCGACATTGTCATTGCATCGATATGGAAAGGCCGTGCTTAGTTTTGTAATCCAATATTCTTCTCTTTGTCTCTGAAAGCTGTACTCAATGATGAGCTATAAGTATGATGGTGAATCTTTTCTAAAATTCTAACTTTCATTGATAAAATAGAATGACTAGGTTAATCAAAGTGCTTGGATAGAAGATGCTTGCCCGCATTGTTAATTTGAAATCTATGCCCGATATTCATTTATTAAGCGAACCTTTGGTTTCACGCACATTAACAATTTCTGAACAATTTTTGTCATCGCCTTCGGCTGATCACAGTTAATTCCATGTAAGGCATTCAGCAAATGTAACAATTTGCGCACACATATCGCGATGGCCTTCTATGTTACTATGATTTGATAACTTCAGGTGATTTTTTGCAACCTGTTAAGTACTGAAGGACCATTTTAGTGCATTTTTAGGGATCTAAATTTTGTAACAGTTACATGGTGAATTTCTCTATGTGCGCAAGAGTTTCATTTACTTCCGAAAACGTACACTCTTTCCCTTCAGAGTAGTTTATTCATTCAATGATGTTTCGAGTAATTCTAATTCGTACATTAGTTTATTCGTTTATTAGCTAATTGACTGTTCTGCACATTCTAATTCCATTACGTAGGCCACAACTTTGACATCTGAATATTACACGATTACTTTATTTTAAAGAAAAACTTGTTTTTAGCCCTTTTTCCTTTCACGATATATTAACAAAAAACTTCCCCAATAATCAGGAAAGTCATGGTGAGTAAATATTTTGCTATATATTTAGTGTGAACTGCATTTTATTCCTTTCACTATATTTAAAGGAAAAAGCTAGCTGTGTATTTTGTGAAAGTGTCCATGAAAATGTTCAAAATACATATTTTCAATTTTCTTCAAACATGACAATCGTTCAAACGTGTATACGTGTGTACAAAATTAAGATCTCGTGACCTTGATTTTCAGACTCTATAGGTATGCATTTAGGAATCCAGTGTCCTACATTTCTACTAATCTTTGTTATCAATTGTTCAACAGAGAGTGCCATAAACAGGTAGGAAACGTTGATAATATGTAAATAGATTGTACCCATACATCAGGATGTTGTCTTGTGCCTGAACTGCATATCGCAATTTGTAATTTGCATTTCATGAATTGTTATTTCTCGTTTTTGTGTTTTAGATATGTGGCAGGTGGTTCTTTTGGTGGTGTTGATTATTGTGTGGTATCTGTATAATGCCCGTATCTCCAAAACACAGAGAATTACAGTCAATGGTCAAGGTGTTTTGATTACCGGATGTGACACCGGTAGGTATACAAATTAAGATGCCCTGTACCGTCTAACCATTGAGCTGAACGTTTAACACAGAAAATTTTATTTCCATTTACAGATGTACACTGGGATTGTTCTGTAAATTATTTGTAGCTGGATAGGTTAATGTTATTAGTACATAAATCTATGTATTTTAGAGTTGTAACCTGTATGGCTGGTTTGGAAATACCGTAGGCTTGATTTCTTGAGTAGCTTTATAGAATTACTTTTCTGCTACACATGTACGTGTAACAGCGGCTTTTGAAAATGCCTTAAGCTGAGCTTTCGATAATTTTGTACCAATGTTGTTGGACGAAGCATGTATTAAAGGACTGTCGTATGCAGATTTGTTTTCTTGCGACAGATTTATGAGAATAATGAACAGTCCCTTTACTTGTAGCCGCTCAACATTATAACTTATAATGTTGTATGTGAAATGGGCTGAAAATGCTATATTGTAAAAATTGTGACACTATAACTTCCTGGAGTACTTAGAAAGGATTGAAAATTTTTGTTCATAATTCAAAGTTAAGTAAATATATGATCAAGTAAGTTGCACATATACTTGAGATTTGTTCTAAGTTAAAAACCCTATTTCACTATGCTTCATAAATATCTTGACTGCACACTATACATAGTCTTAATCATAAAGAAGCTGATAACAATTGCCAATCAGTACCGGCATACTTTCTATTCCTAAATATCTTCATCTTGGCATCACTTCAAGTGGATTTCCTCTCCTTTCAGGTATAGGACACGACCTGGCGAAGCGCCTGGATAAGATGGGGTTTCATGTGTTTGCTGGGTGTCTGGTGGGAGATGGACCTGGAGCAGCAGAATTAGCGAGATCATGTTCTAAACGTCTTCACGTTGTCCAACTAGACGTTACCAAAGATGACCAAATTAGAAGTGCCAAAAGTTACGTAGAGACGATACACAAACAAACTGGATGTGGTAATTATATATCTATATCATATAAAGAAGACGCAGATTTTCATTGGAATTTTAAATAAAATATTTTAATTTTTAAATTATACATGAAATTTACTATTATCTCTTTGTTACCTTGTTATATTATTCTTTTAAAATTCAATTTGACCTTTTAGATGTAACTTTTATCTTATCAATTTTCGCATGGAAACATACTTTATCAGTTACTGTTTTTCCGTCATCAATTATAATCTTTTTGTTTAACAATTTCTTTTTTACCTTAATTTATTTTACTCGATTAAAAATAATTTTTGCGAAATCGCCTATATTTCCTTTTAATTTATGATTTTTAATTTTAACTTAATCATGTACCTGTACAACATTAATTTGTAGGACTCTGGGCTGTTGTTAATAACGCTGGTATTGACTGTTGGGGCGATATAGAATTTTGTACGATGGATATGTACAGACGTATAGCGGAAGTGAATCTTTTCGGCATGATAAACGTCACGAAAATATTTCTACCAATGATTAGAAAATCAAAAGGTATTCATGTCAGACGCATTCCTCAAAAATATATAATTTATCCCAAGAATTTGCAATTTAAGTGTTGCTTCTTCAAGAATTTCCTCACAAAACCAGACATTTGTGCAAGATTGCAAAGGATGGTATTTCCTATACAACCTACTGAATATCTTGAATTGCTGATATGCAATATTTGCTTTATGTATTTTTAAGACATTTTGAAGACAGTTAAGAAATAGGAAGATAATTATGATTATAAATATTTTCGGTACTTTACGAAGAAATGCAAAAATAGACATTAAAGGCCTTAAGCAGGATCATACATTGTGAGTCTGCATGAATATTTTTCTGTCTAAAACTGTTACATTTATCAAACTGTATTTGAGTAGTTGAAGTTTGAATAAGATGCAATTTTTTGTAGAAAGAAAATGAAAAAAAACTTAACAATAATCAAAAGTCCTTTAACCAGAGCATAACCATATGAAAAAATATTTTTCAGTGTGTACTCTCCTTCCTATATATTGACCACATCATGATTAATATGATCATATTAATAAAAATGATGACCGCTCCTCTCTCTCTCTTTCAAGACTTTGTTAGAAATAGAAATCATTTGCTTTTTTAAAAATTGTATTATGCAGCATATCCAAAATCACACATAGAACAACTTAGGGAATCTCAGCATCTTACCTTCCTTACCATAAAATGGGTTGTTCTCTTCTTAAAGAGTTTTAACCATGATATGTATTTAGAACATGCATTTTCTGAAAATATAAGAATTCTTCAAGTGAATGTGCATGTATGAGTAATATACAATAATAATTTTAATTCCTAATAGGTCGAATTGTAAATAATACAAGTGTTAAAGGGCGTGTGTCACTTCCTAGAATATCGGTCTATGGAATCACTAAGTATGGCGGGGAGAACTTCTCTGACTGCCTGAGACTTGAAATGAGAAAGTTTGGAGTAAAAGTTGTAATAGTTGAACCAGGAGAATTTGGAGGAGTGACCGGAATTCTCAAAGGTCCCAATGTATGTCCATCATTAATTCTTACTTAACCTGAAGATTTAATCTATACAGTGTAAGCTTGTTCGATTGAAACAGTTCGTCTTCTGCCTACTTAAGATTTTTTGGAGAAAATCAAGATTTTTTTCTGCAGCACAACTGCTTTCTACATTGAAGATTGTTATTTACATGTGGCGGTTCTTGGAAAATGCTCTATAATCCTTAATTTTAGAAGACTAACATTGAAATATCTCCCCCCCCCCCCATATTCTTGTAAAAATTTGAAATTAATTATTTGAATGATTCTGAGGACAACCAAAATGCTATGATAGTAAATCTGCTTTTTATTTGCTACTTTCTGACAACAATTTGATGGCACCTCACCAAACTCAGTCTTGCTTTTCTTTTCAACATGTGAAAATATGTGAAAATATTTTTTTCTGCAGCCGAGATTTGATAAAAAGCTTCAATAAAAAGACTTTAAAAATAACTGTATTATTATTTTAATTTGGAGCCGTGTGCCTTGATTGGACTTACAAGTAAATTTACACTTTAATTAAAGTTAAAACGCCTGAAAAAAGACGTAGATGAAATGTGGAACAATGCCGACACAGAAGTGAGACAAGCCTATGGCCGGAAGTATCTGGAATCCCAGTTTTCTGGACTAGAAAAATCACCTGACCCTTCCTATTCCACGATCAATCCTGTCATTGACGCATTTGTTGACGCTGTGACGCTAGAAAATCCTAAAAGTAGATACCTAGTGGATGGTGGCAAGGGGCTCATTGATTACTATTGCGTAAGTTTAGTTTATCTCTACAGTTGATGTTTAATTTTTGTTTTATTTTTCTTTGCTGGCATATGGTTTCTTAAACGCAGCAGTTAAAAGAGTGATTTAGACAATGAAAGAGACCTGCATTGCATTAAAGAAATTAACTTATTACTCATGGGAGGGAAAACCTTCTACGCCTTTCACTTTTGAGGTTTTTTAATACAAGTACTTTAAATAATTCTGCAACACAGTCACATATCTTCCTAAATTACAGGGTACGAGTATGTGGTATATAACCTTTAAAGCATAGTTTAAGTTGTACAATGAAATATATGGAGATAACGAACAGTATTCAAGCTCAAAAGTCCATTATACAATACAAAATAGGAGCAGAGCAAACACGGACCTCCAAACATCAGAGGTGGGATCAGGTGCCATGGAGGAGTGAGCATCCCCTGCCGACCGGTCACACCCGCCGTGTACAAGCATTTATATAAAAAAGTGTTTAATTGTTTAATTTTAAAAATTTAGAAAGGCAAATTAAAAAAAAATATGATGATTGATATGTAGTAAATGCCCTGGTGTAGTACTTATTTTTTCAATCTTTATATCTATTTTCAGTTTTACGCCCGGTTAAATAGCTACCTACCTACCGCTTGGATGGATTTCCTAGTCGATCGATGGTTTAACTCTTTCGGAGTATCAAATTTTGGAACATGATTAGAATGTCATTAATGTGCCTTCAGCGATGTTTTGATGCTATGTAGAAAATAGATACAACAAATTAATATATTTTTTTATTTAATGCAAGATAAAAGAGGAGTATTATATGTGTACTGTTAAAGAATATATAAGTGTAACAGACTTGTATGATGGTCATAATATGGAATCAATGACAACAAAGGCTGTTGATTCGAGTTTATGACAAGGCGGTCTCTTTATTAAGATAGAATCAGAAACAGTAAAGAGACCCTATAATGAAATAACAAATTGTTAACATTTAGCATCATTAATTATTCTTTGGCATAAAAACAATATTATCCATACCATTCAAGGGGAATGGGCCATAACAGCATATATAAGCTGTATTCAGTAGACAGCTGTAGGAATAATATTAACAAATCAACAATGAACAACTACTAAGCATAAAACAAAGTTTACTTTAAATTATTAAACATTGAGACATTCATGAATTACTATTTACACCTAACTTATATTTTAAGGTCTCACTCTCACTATTCATTTACTCCAAAAGTGATTCAAGGAATTAAAATTAAAATTACAGATTTCATATTTAATAGAATGAGAATCATATTTATTAACCTTTAGTTTTACAGAATTACTTATCATGCAAGCGGAAAGAATTGTCTCTATGTCAAAGTTCCTATATGATGATAATGTCTGCCCAACTTAGTCACCAGAACTTAAAAATGACCATAACTTTTCACTGCTAAATCAGAATTCACCAAAAATACAAAGAAAACCACAAACAAAATCCAATCCAAAAGCATAAGACAAACTAAAAACCAATGAAATTAACAGATACATAATGACCATGGCCAGAATATAATTAGAGCCCTGAGACTAACTCTGGACCTCTCTGGAAAATAACAATTTAAAATCACTACACCTAACTACAGGCTAAATGAATAATTATATGATTCAGCTGTAGAAGTGTGCTGCAAATAAAAATATTAATTAAATGAATAAATGTACATGCAATGTGCATTGCTAAGCACATGTGCATAAAAATGAAAACATGAGTCTGTCTCATAAGGCAACTTTTAAAGTACGAATTTTACAGAATGATGGAAGCATTTTAAATTTGCAAATGTTGTTTAAAATGCTTGAATTTAAACTTCCATCCATAGTAGAATAGTCATGTCATTAACAAAGCCAATAGTCAGTACATAATTACATGTAAACACTAGACTTAAATACTAATTTATTAATTATGAGATAAACTGATGGTTAAGTGGACTATCTATAATTCCTTTTATTCTACAGAAAGTTGCGTTGTTATACATGTACATCTAGCTATTATACAAAAACAATCGCATGTAATGCGGCAATTGTTAAACGAATGAGATGAACCTTATTTCACAGGATCTGTAACTAGATGTTCATTTATTGATGGTCTATAAAGAGTTCCCAGTGACGATTTTTTTTCCTATTTATATAACTAAATACCCGTACGCACAAGTTTTTCAATAGTTGATGTCAAGGTATCTGCGTCTCTTTCTTGGCCTATAACAAATATTTTCCGCTGTTTTTTCTCAGTGTAGCAAACTATGTTTTCAGGATTAGGGATCCAGATAGTTCTTAACTCTCCTAGTACTCTATCCCAGAGACTAGTAGGTACAGTAATATGCCGTATCTTCCAATTATTAAGAAAGCCTGTCAGTAAATCCGAAATAATCGTTTTCCACGCGTCGTTCATATGTGAAGCTGCATTTGTACTTTCTATGCACAAATGTGCTTCCTCGTCAAAACCTTCGCTTTCTGACCAAATTGGTTTGGCTTCCACTTCTTTAAGAAATGCATCTAACTTTTCACGGAAGAGCTTTGACTTTCGAAGACAAAGAAAAAGCTTAGGATGTAGCTGGATCAAACATCTTTTAAATTGTGAAGACGTACCCTTTTCGTCGTGCAAATCGTCATGGATGTTGATTAAGTTTCCATGTTGCTTGTTAACAAATGACAATACTGAATTTAACAAAAAAAATATAATTACTCATATGGAACAAATAAATGATTCGATAAACATCAAGATACATTTAAAATGATATTTAAGTTAATTACCTTTTCTTAAAGACTCTTTGATCTCCTTAAAGTATATTGTAATAAATAATTGAAACCTCAAGGATTGAAATCATATTTACGAGGAGTGATCAAAAAGTTCGCAAACTAATTGAATTACTTCCATAAAAGAAATTAAAGTAGTGTGTATTATTTTTTTTTAAAAGTAGTCCCCTCCGGTTTTAATGCACATCGGCAACCGTTCTGCCCATGCGAGAAACACGTGGTTCAGGCTTTCACGTGACATGCGCCGTAGCGTTCTGTTCACAGCAGCTAAAAGATTTTTCCGAGTCTTCTATTTCTTACTATGCAGGTTATTTTTTATAAGAAGAAAAGTTCTTTTGTCACAAATTGCCAAATCTCGGACATAGGGTGGATGGATAAGGATATCTTTTACCAGAATGAGCATGGTGACCATCACAACCCGACTCTTCTGTCTTCGATGCGTCGTTTTTAAATTGTGAATCAAGTATGGAAGCGTTCTGTTTATCATATCTGATAGGTTTAAAATCTGTAGTAAATGATATTTTAGGGATTTAATTGATATTTTATTGTTAAGATATTCAAGTATTTTTTAAACTGTAACGTGGCGATCTTTTAAAACAAATTGCTCAACTAATGTCACATCTCTTTCCCAGCAGACTTTCATTGGGCACCAGAACGAACATCATTTTTAACTCTCTCCCTTCTTTCACTAAAACAATCAATCCAGTTAATGATTGAACTTCTTGCAAGTCCTTTGTTTTCATAAACCCTGTACATATTATTATATGCCACTGCAAAGGAATTTCCAAGATTTAAGTTAAAATTTACAGCTGTTCCGTGCATGAGTAAGACTGAGTAACCCATTTTTCGTCACAAGTCACCTACATATTGACGTCATTTTCATATTGTGGCGTCATAAACATGGACCAAAAATTGCATGACATATGCTATATATAGAACATGTTTATGACTTTTTGTGTGCCAAATTTTTTTCTGATTTGAATTGTGGATTTGTAAATATAGAAATAGTTCGCGAAGGCTTTGATCACCCCTCGTAAAGAAAGATGAATTTTATTTTATTAAAGAAATCATAAGTTCGACTTCTTACTTTCCTTTGATGTTCTCATCTCTGAGAGACTTCTAAATTCGACAGGCCAAATAAAAGATTTGAAATTTCCAAAAACGATTCTCAGATCAAATGGAAATTCAGCAGAAATAAAGTCGAAGACATAAAGTTTTTTCAGTGTAGGTAATTCACTGAGCTGGTCTAGCTTAGACTGAAATTTGACGAGAAGTTTAGGGTTTTCTGACGCATGCATGTCCTCGTACTTCTTGATGGACTCATTTATCTCTTCAATCTTACTTTCCATGAGAGCTTTTTCCTCTCTCAAAGTCCTCAAAGTCTTGTCCTCTGCATCTTTTAGTTCTTTTCCAAGAGATTCTTCAAGAGACGTAATTTCATGATGCCATTTTTCAACCCAAAGCTTAAGCTTTTGTCTGACACCTGCAAAATGCTTAGAAACCGTACACAGATTTCTGTCGATATCTTGTACACACTTCGCAAAGTTGCGTTTCACTTTTGTTTGTAATTCATTACTTTCTTCTTTAATCAATGTTTCGAAGAAGTTAGTTATTATTGACATTGATGAAAGGTCGTGAAGTTTATGTTCATTTGTTGCGACACATTCACTGCAGATTGGAGTAGAGCATGACTTACAATAGACATCACATGTAAAATTAAAGTGTATGTCACACTGCTGTGTCAAAGACCGAGAATATCCCCGGAGTTCATGTCCTTGTTTTGATTTCGTGCGCATGTGGTTCAAAGAACATTCTCCACAGAGTTTAATTTCACACGGAACACAAGTAAATTCTACAGGGTTTTGGCACTTTTCACACGTTATGAAATGTTGTGCTCGGTCTTTAGCAGCCATCTTGTTTTGTTTCAGTCACATTGATAATTACCTAAACTTTATTTAGCTATGAAACGAAAGTTACAGTTTGAAATCCATACCTTGTAAGTGGGTAATTGTGGATACTTTCAAAATGAAACGAACAATTGTAGTAAAATACCTACATGTAGAACTTGAATCAACAACCTAAAAATAGTGCTTTCTGTTCGGTCGACGAAATGTAAACAATGTACAGGTACCTAACTGGTTCCCGGTACCAGTTTAAATGTAATGTTTCTCTTTATCATTACCCGGTAATTAAATACAACAGACTAAAATACCTTGCAATACGAATTTCACTTAATGCCTTCTGTATGGTTTAGTATACACTTTACAATGTTAACTTTTATTCATTCTAATAGTTTTATATACATTGTATATGCTGTAGGTATTTAAAAGTTTCACATGAATATAAAAAGCTTCTCCGAGCGAGTGCGTATCATTTATGACTTGGAGATATTTGATAAACATTTCTCTTAGAAGTATAAACACTATAAGATAACTGGAATCATCTCTGATAAGGCAATCAAATTGGGGACCTTTTTGTAAGTAAAATGCTTTAATAATATCTTATGAAAGGGATCAAACAGTTTTTAAAATAGGGACTAGCGAGACTACCTGCTGGCATGTGCTCTTAACATTTCTTGCTTTACAGAATCAGTTTGATTTGTTAAAACTAGTCATTTGAGAAGGCTGTTTTTGAATCAAGCAAATTATAACCATACTTTTCAATGATGAATTTGTAATACCAACGAGGGATAAAATACTATAGTACATACAGTTTATCGTGGAAAGACATCTATATTATATAAGCTATTAACATCGAACCCTACGTACCAATATTTGGATTTGGGCAAATAAAGAATAATGCAAGTTAAAAATTTTTAAAGATAGTATAGTAACTATAAATTAGTCTAAGTTTGCAATATAAGGTAACAATATAAGGTAGGTAACCGGAATTAATTAATAAGATTAAAAACAATAACCAGGTAAAATGTGTACCACTTAAAATAAATCATCCTCAAAAAATGGAAATATCATAATTATATATCAGTATGATTAACAAAATTATGTTAAGTACAATTTTATCTTGTAAAACTGAAAATGATACAATCAAAATCATTAATTGCTGCAAATTCATTATTAAATGCTTCATACATGTAGTTTTAATCGTGAACTTTAGAAATTATTAGCTTAGGTATCTACAACAGTATTATGATTATACTTAGCACAGTATTCCTGCATACTTATTCACTGTTCCTTGATCAGTAGTATGTAAACTTAGTCTACATGAATCAGCCCAGTAATTATATTTTTGTTAAAAAGTTCCTATTAAATGTCATGTTTATTTCAGTGTGTTTTATTTTGATGAACCCCTGGACAAAAGGTATGTTTTTGTTTACTTTTTACTCCAATATAATCGACCAATAACTCGCTTCATTAATATCTCTACATTTAACATCCTAACATTTTCGTAAATGTACATACCTTCTTTGGTCATCAGCAAAATGATTTTGTTCCAAAACATTCCGATTCTTCACACAAGTATTCTGAAGCTAAAATTGAAAAGAAACTTCAGTTTGTGATTGACAATATCTATGTAGTTTTTTGAGACCAGGTCTTCCAACAATCTGTTGGAAACCATAGGTACTAATTGTGCCCTGTTATTAACAGACCTTTTTTGTATTCATATGAAGCAGAATTAATTCGAAAACTTCTACAGGACAAGAAGGTCTATCAATTAACAATTCGCATTTTCATTTCTAGTTAATTCGATACATCCTTTTGAACTCGGAGTAAGAGACAACACAGAGACTGATTCATCTGTTTCATATTAGGTTTTTTTTTTTTTTTTTTTTTTTTTTTTTTTTTTTTTTTTTTTTTACCAGAGAAAGACATTAATGTCAAACTAACAAATAAACTTCATGATAAACGTAATAACCTTAACACTTTTTCTATCTTCAAATTTCCTGCTTCATGTAGTAATATACCATTATCACCTGCATATGAAGTTTATGTCTTCCCGTTGATTCGATACGAAACAGCATATTCTACGTGGAAAACAATTTCTAAAACGAGGTAAGCTATTGAAAAATAAGTTGATGATACGAGAATAACATCAGTCTCGTTTAAAGTCAACATTTCGCTAATGAATGTCAGTAAATGCGATCTATCGTCAAGACGGTTGACGTTTTTTTTTTCCAAATTGTTGGTCCATTATTTCACAATGAATTGTCTACGGATCTTTCCGTTTACCCGATCACAACAAGGAACACACGGGTTGCTTACTCCTCCATGGTACCTGATCCCACCTCCGAAGTTTTTAGAGGTCCATGTTATTAGTATTGTTCCAAATGAATGGACTTCTACTCATTGTCTCTAAAATCCTTTATAAAATTATATCCTAATTTTGAAATACTAGTAAATTTTGAAATAAAGAGAAAGGTATCTAAATTATTTTGTCTCGAACGTTTTTTTTCCGTCTTTCTGAAGATTATGAATCAATTTCTAGGTTGGGCCATCATTTGCTATAACTGCATTCTTGTGGACAACCCTCTTCAGAGTAATATTACTACACGATGTTAACTACAAAAGGTATTATATTTATGACTAGTAATTTATGATTTAGGTATATTCAGATTAATTTTTCATACAAAATAAAGACATGGACCTGTTTTCTTTATCTTTTCTATTTTATTCCACCTGTTTAGTTCATTCATACATTTACTTCCTTTTCTTTATTTTATTTGCAAAGGTTACAAAAACAATCACAAATTTGTATCAAAGTTCCCCATAAATTTTTATTTTTAATGTTAATTATTTTATTTTTTTCTAATTGATTGCAATGTTTTACATTTATTTACAGTTGTTTTGAATAATTAAATTGTAGGTGTGCAAAGTTACAGAAACAATTGATGATAGCTTTTACTTTAAGTACATGTACCATTTAGGATGTGTAAATCCCAATGTGCGTATAACTCTGCTGGTGTTATATTCTATGTTGGTACATTTCATGATAGTTTTAATTTCGGGGATACTTTAAAATGTCTCATTAATAGATATTTGTTATTACCAAAAATATTCCTTGAAACAAAGAAGGTGATGGTGAGCTATGTAAAATATTTAAAGAATCTAACATTAGACAGCCGTTTCATTTATCTGGCTTTTTCAAATGATTATCTATGGTCAATAATTTTACTAATATGATATTTTATGGTGTATGGTACGTACTTGTATTTGATACATAAACACTACATTGATATGTTGGTTGACAATATTTGCGATAGCCTAATGTTCGCGGAAAATTCTTTGATTGCGAACATAGTGAAATTAAAACCATCGCAATGTATTCCACACACAATATACACTTAATCAGTACAGTATCACATTACCTCATTTATGTGCATTCATTATTCAACAATGGTAGACAAAAATAAGCTTCATACTTGAAACGACACTTATTTTATTTTTTTGTATTGGAAAGAATATTCCCTTGTTGTGTCATATTGATATGGAAGCATCCTCAGGTAGTGTACATTGTTCAAATCTTGACCCCCGGCGATAGGGTTGGGCCACAAGAGGCGATCTGTCCTAGGTCCTCTTTAATTTCTGATATATGTGAATAATGTTGCCGAAAATATCATATCTGTTTGCAGACTATTTGCAGAAGAGTACTCTTTAGAAGAAAGCCTAAGTGACGTGCGCCTCATTGAACATAATCTAAACCATGATTTAAAATCCTGGATGAATGGTCAAAAATGGCTATTAAAATTTAATTCAAACAAAAGTAGTATTTTTCAGCTTAAAAATACAAACCAATTATCTGCATTATTTTTTGTGAACTGTCAGCTAGAATATGTAACACAACACATACATCTTGGTGTTATTTTTTCATCGTAATTAGGCTGGACTGAATACATTGATAGTATTGTCGGTAAAGGCTACAAAAAGCTTGGACTTCTCAAGAAACTAAAATTTTCAGTGTCTAGAGATACTTTATCCAAAATTTACATTTCCTTTATTCGACCACGACCTGAGTATGCATCTGAAGGTTGGTCAGGCTGTTCGTTTGCAGATATTGAAAAGCTTGTTAGGGTTCAACTGACCGCTGCAAGAATTGTGACAGGTCTGTCAGTATTAGCGGCAAGAAACTCGTTGTTTGTTGAAACAGGATGGAAATCTCGTAAAATAAGAAGGGAGACAAAGCTAAACTTTTAACAATGTTTAAAATCCACAATAACCTAGCTCCTGATTATTTAAAAGATATTGTACCAGTAGTTAGAAACACTGTTTCAAATTATAATACTCGTAATTCAAGTAATTATTTCTTACCAAATTAAAATGTAGGTTTGAATTACTCAATAAGTCATTTAGCCCCGATACTATTCGCAAATGGAATTAATTGAGTAATGAAACAAGGGAAATAACTTCAATAGGAATTTTCAAAAGAAAATTGAATAAAATAATGACAAGCCTCCCAAGTATCTATCATACGGCAAAAGGTATCTGAACATTTTACATACAAGAATAAGGCACACTTGTATTTTAAATCATGACTTGTATAGATGTAATATTAAAACGAATCCAAATTGTTCTTGTGGATATAAGGAGGTTAGTCATCAATATTTCTTTGTGTGTAGAAAATATCTAAAAGCTAGACGTTTAATATTGAATGCATTACTTGTAATTAATAATGTAAAAATGTTAAATGTACATAAACAGCTATGGGGAGATTAATTATTTTCTTTGCAGGAAGATGAAAAATATTTGGTATTTAAAAAAAAAAAAATCCAGGATACTGGTTGTTTCACTTGTATTTACTACCTCTTTTGAAACTATGTTAAACATGGTTATTGTCGTCATAATATTCATCCCTATGTCAGATGATATTCCTTAGCAATAATAGCTGTTGTTTTTGTTCTCCTATGTTCATGTATATTATTGTAAAATTGTAAATCTTTGTAAATGTTGTATGGCTATTAAGATTTTATGTGTGGGAGAGGACTATCGAATTTTTTAGAAATTGTGTCCAATACCTTTGACATATTGTCAATAG